TTCACTTGATTTGGAGCAAATGGAGAAGATTGTTATCTCCATAGGTGCCGACTCCGTGGGGCTGGAGCATCCACGGGGAAAAATTGGTGGGTGCTCTGCACCCACCGGCAGCCAAGCTCCCCGCCCCAGCTCACCTCCGCCTCCTCCCCTGAGCGCACCGCATCCCCGCTTCTCCTCCCAGTGCTTGCAGCCGCGAAACAGCTGTTTCGCGGCATTACAAGCTGTGGGAGGGCGGGGGAGGAGCGGGAACACGGCGCGCTCAGGGGAAGAGGCAGGGCTGGGGCAGGGATTTGGGGAAGGAGTCCAATAAGGGCAGGGAGGGGGGCGGAGACTTTGGGGAATTGGGACGGGGCAGGGGCGGGAGGGGTCGAGGACCCACCGGCGCCGGGAGAGGTTGGCGCCTATGGTTATCTCCATAAGAACAGCTCTGCTTTGGGAAGGGTTTTCTCCCCCACCCTCCATGCTGCCCTTTCCTCCTCCTTTCCCCAGTCTCCATTATCAGCATTCATTACACTCGGGAGGTTTCCCCAGCAGAAGGCTTGCTGTGCTTACGAACATGCAATGAGCACACCTCCTGGATATAATGCACACTCATTGTATTGCAAGGACTTCCCTGTGGAGCTCAAGTCACTGGAGTTCTATGGGGAGAGCTGGGGGGTGGGAAGAGGACAGGGGGCCAAGTGTGACCTCCATGAGGAGGGCTCTTAGGCGAATGTCCCACTCCTTCTGCGTCCTTGGCCTGAAGTTCTTGCAGATTTTGCACTTTTCTTTCGTGTGCGACTCCCCCAAACACTTTAGGCAACTGCTGTGAGGTTCGCTAACTGACATCGGCTTACCACAAGTGTAGCACGGTTTGAAGCCCGGGGACCGGGGCATGCCCCACCCTAGGGCAAAGTCCCTGCTGGGACTCCAACAAACTAACTTAACTTCTTACACTTAATTACTAACTAACTATCTATCAACTATATACAAGAGAATCACCAATAGGCAATAGAACCACTATCACACTTGCAAAGCAAGAGGATGGCACTCTGACCAAACATCACGGGTGGTAAGAAGGAACTGAGAGAGCGTAGGGCCAGCGGCACCTTATACACCGGCGCATGAACATGGGACTCCAGAGCAGGGCTGGCTCTGGCTTTTTTGCCGCCCCAGGCAAAAAAGCCTCCCGCGCCCCCCCACCCCCCCGCCCCTGGCGGGGAGTGCGGCAGGGGAGGGCACCAGCTCAGACCTGTCAGGCGCCGTGGCTAACCGCCTGCCAGAATTATTTTGCCTCCCTAGAATGGCCCTCACCTCCTCGTACCAGAGCAGGGGGAAATTAAGGCTTTTGCCTATCTGCAGCCATTAGCTGGAGAATTTTACTCCATTCATTATTAAAAAATTTAAATTGACCCTAAATTTCTTTAATGCAGGGGTCCTTAAAGGGGTTTTCTGAAAAGGAGGACTTCCCATCAGGGGCAACTCAGATGCAGCTCTGCCCTCAGACACACACAATTTGTAATGCTCTGCAAGGCAGTGGCTGCAGGAGCCTTGATCCACAACGTCTGTTTGTTCCTTGTCTGTTTTCAGCGCTGTCTCCTTGGCTTCACCCGGCTCTCTCTGTTCCAGCATAAGGACACAGCACCAGGCAGAGCCAGAACTTCCCTCAGCAACCCCTCCACATGAATCTGCCAGGTCGCTACCAAGCCCGCGGGGACAGCCATGCCAGCTGCTTTAATGCCTCATCGCCATCAGGTCCAGCTACCCTCTCCTATAGGTGCTTCTCACCAGCTCCAGTCTGGAGCAAGAGCTGTTCACCGTGGAAGTCTGCCCCGGCTTGGGGACACCAACACCTATCAAACGAGCTTGCAGGCAGAAGGATTAAGTTCTCCCTCAGGGAAACTCTGAGAATTCCTCTGCAGTGTTAAAAGCTTCTGCCACAGCAAAGTCTTTCTCAGGGGCCAGCCTTGCTCAGATCGATATCCTCGTTCACTGCCTACCAGCCAACGGCCAAAAAACCTCTTCTTCCTTTATTGCAGATGACAAATCTCCCCCTTCGACAAAGAGTTTTGTCTTTACAACAGAAGCACACAGTCCTTTTGGGGATTCCAGACATGTCATTATCATTCTGCATTCAACAGAGAGAACTGGAACAGGTACACCAGAGGAGAAAGATCCAGGCAGGACGTCAAACCTCCTCCATCTCTAAAACACACTTCCTGACTTGTAGCAACCTTCATGGAATTTGGAGGGAAGATCATGGCTTGCAGGAGGGAAATGTCTGGAAAAGACACCAGGCATTCTGTGCTTTGTGCATATGACAAGGGAGGTGGGGGGGTTAAACAGCAGTTTGAGCAGTTTCATACATAATCGATTTAATAGTGAGCCAGTTTAATTGAATAAAAATGGAATCCTCTCATGTTATTACCCAGCCCTCGGCACATGAAACATGACTCACTGGCCCCACCCATTCAGAGATCAGGAGAAAAAGAGCGTGGGGGGCAAGGGGGAAACACTCTGAAAATGTGTGTGTTTCTGGACCAGACCAATCTCGGACAGTTGGGTAACAGAACTGATTCTACACGGATACCTACCAGTACTGAACTCTTTCCTCGGGGACTGATTCATTCACTCTGGGTCACACACACCTATAAGGGACTGCAATGCTTGGGAACAAAAGTAAAAATTGAAAGTATTGTGCCCACTGAAACACAGAATTCCCCTGGGTTTTGCGGCTCTGTGTCTGTGACACAGTTTGGATATTGGTGTACATGTATATGTGTATATGTGCATTTCATTTCGCGGCGTGATTCAAACTTATCGCCTTAGACCTGAGCATAGGTTTTACAAATCCCTACAAAACAGATCCCCTTTCAGGCTTCAGGATTTATAGCCTGTATTATTATCACCACAAACTGTTCACTGCCTACTAAACTTACACGTTATGAAAATGAGTTAATTAAATACCTATTGGAATCTATTTTACCCTGGGACTGGTACAAAACCAGTGTCACAGAGTGGCCGTCCCTTTAAGGGGAGTACCTGTGACCAATTAGCGGATGCTGTAAGGACAGGGATCGGGTGATTGCTTGAAGATCACCTCTTCTTCATATAAGACAGCAAGTAGCTCAGTTGAGCTGAACAGCTGCAGGCAAGGTCCTGCAAGAGTCCCTGGGTCAGGAGGAAGAACCCAATTTACATATCACTCAAGCAGAGTACAATCGAGAAGGAAGTAGAGGCTCACCTGGACTCACAGGAATATAATCCTGTAGGGTATAAATAGGCCCCTTGGCCAGGGAAAAAGGATACGACTGATGTGTTGAACTTATGTTATTTTGCAGAAATAAAGCTGAGACTCTGAGGAAAACGGGACTGAAATCCAGTGGCGGGCGAGTGTTCTTTGGTGCATAAGCTGGTGAGTTAGAACACTGGCTTACAACCAGGTATTAATAGCTGGGATAAGAGCAGTTTTCCAACACTGCAGTAATATTCATGTCCCAGCAGCTATCTTCTAAAATGTATTACCATAAGAAGACACAAGTTTTACTTAATAAGGGCACTAATCCCATCCAAGTAAATAACTGGTTTGGTAAAGCTTTAATCATTCCTAATTTTGGCTCACCCCTTAGTTAACTATGGGTAATAACTAATTTCTTCTAGATTACTGTTTTAAAAGGTTTTCCTCCCAAAGCACACATGCAGTACAAATGCATTGCCATTTACTGTACATCTTGAAAGTACAACTGTTAGAGCGTAATTAATTATAATGACATAGTAGTTAGTCTGTTGGATACAATAAATTTACTCAACCTCTCACTGACTGTCAAAGAGATAACGTAGGTTAGGTCTGATCAGAGCTTGGACAGAATCAAGTGAAGAAAGGGGAAAAACAAAGATGAGATGCTTCAAAAGTGCTACTCACATCAGGACCCACAGATCTAAGAAACTGACCAGGTGGAATCTGATCTTACAGCTCTCTCATGACAGAGCTCTGTGGTTACATTTTCAAAGTTAGCGCCATCTAAAGACCCTGATGCTCCTAAGCAATTTCCACCTGACCAGCTTGACAAAGTTCTCCCTTCCTCAAGAAGTAATCCTATCGTTATTACTCTGCTCAGCTGGCTTATCAACTGGAGTACGGTGAGTGGCTTTATAACAGAACTTCCTGATATGTGGATTTAGTGTGTCATGGTGCGATGTTTCACTGTATGCTGACTTTTAGTTTATCTCCATATGTACTATAGGTGAAACTCACTCCCGTGCAGAGGGCCAACTAAAGGTCTATGCACAATTTAATTCCTCACAAAAGAGTATCAATAGAATTGGCTCCAGAGGCTGAAATTCATCCCTGTGTAGTCTATCTCCCATTAAGTTTGATAGGAGTTTATCCATTGAACTTTGGTGGGAGTTGGATTGAGCCCTGTATCTGGGTCCCAGTCAGCAGGTAACTCCTGCTTAAAGCATTAACAGGAGAACCAGATGGAAACTCCTGCATCTAGAGGACAGACTACGCTCTACTAATTTTCATCTAAAGAAGATACGGAATGTGGCCAGCTCTTATGATTTTATCAGAAGTTACACAATTTTTTTGGTGTTTTTCATAAAGCCTCAGTTTCTGGAGACATGTAATTACATTAGAATCGCATCTTTCATTTTAAAAAAAAGCTTCTAGCCCTCATGAAGAAAAGCTGAAAAATGTGAAGTAAAAAGGCTCAAAAACAGAGACAAATAATAAGTAAAAAAACATCCCAAATTGATCATGTTTGCAAATATGACTTTTCAGCCAATTTCATTATTTGGGGGACTTAACACATAATTTTTGAATGCCTAGGCTTGATAAAACTGCATACAGCCTTGAGAATCCTTCTCCAGGAGATGAAGTAGATTACTGAAGACCTTCGCACTTGGCCCATAATGTTTGGGAACCCAAACACCATGAAACTGTATCTCAAATGATGCCTGAAGGAAATTCCATTGGCCTCCCCCAGGATTCACCCCCCGTTTTGAAAACCCCTACTTACAATTGTGAAATTCATAACCTTGAGAATCCAGATGGTCATGGCAAGGTTCACCAGGATTAAAATCATTAGGAGTAGCACAAAGAAATAGAGGCATCTCTTCCTCCAGCCGTAAATCCCCACTTTGTATACCTGTGGGCCTTCCGAGCTCTGCATGGCGCTCCTGTGTGCGTACTGTTCCTGAGGCATCTGAAACAAGCACAGAAAAATAAGCATGACCGTTACGCTGCAGGACGAATCAGATGGTGAGAAATGTCTTGTGAGAATGACTTGTCTTGGGACATGGATCTATGCTGATTAGAGCATTTTTAAATTCAGAAATTACCAGCTGGACAGTGCCTCTCCCTGTGGCTTGTTTCTGTTTTGTTCCTCTCACGGCTCATTTTATATACCTCATAATACAGTTTTTATAGCCGCGCACGCACTGTGTAAGGGCTTCCCAGAGAGACCACTCTCCAGTGACTCTCTTAGCAGCTCCGTTTTTTGCAAGGCAGGCACTCCGGGCCCTCTCAAAATCCGGAGAGTAGAATTTTTGCATGCGCTTGGCAAAAGAAGTTGAGTTCAGCAGTTTGGTTTGAAGATGCAATATTACTTCTCAGAGGCTTTCATTAAACAAAATCACCTCAAATAGAATTATTCTTGGTGGCCAAGAAAAAGGAGAAGGGGGGCAGGCGTTTGGCTTCTTTATTTCTCCCTCCTCATCCCTACCCCCCTGCCCTAGGGAAACTTAAAATGTGAAGTGCTCCAGCTGCGCATCCCGAATCAAATTACTGCTGAAAGATTTACACCGAACGGAGGTTTCTGTTATTGCTGGCTCTGCCACTTACACTTGCTCTGCTGAACAGGGCAGCACTGCGTGTTTGTGGCAGTGCACTGGGAAAGCCAGGCAAGGGTCTTGGAGGTAAAAGAGGAGAGAGAGGAAAGGAAGTAGGTGTAGTTACTAAGGTGTCTCCAAACACCAGCTCTGTGGTGTTCCTGCAAAACGCACAGATTTTTTGATTCCACCAACAAGAGCCTGGTTGCGCAACCCTTAGTTTCTTACTCATGCAAACTCTCCCCTGGATTTCAATGGGACTTCTAGCCTGAGTAAAGGCTCCCATTTGTAAGGGGTGCACAATTTTGGTCACAGGATTAGACTGTAGCATATATGCCATAGTCCTGAGCAGGGAGCCATGCAGAGCTGCACCCCTTCAGCTGGAGCACCAAGGAGTTTATGTTTGCCTGAGGCATGATCTCTTTTGATGCTTTCCTGGGCACAGAGGGGGTGGGCATGTTGCATTAGTCATTGCCCACTCCAACGTGCTGGCTTCCCATGCCTCTTTGCACCTTCTTTCTGGCAACTTGCTCCCAAGAGAAGAAGGAGCAACTTCTGCACTTCCAAATCACAGGGGTTGTAGGAGGCCCTAGCACAGCCCTTCGGGTGTAAGAGAAAGCTTGTGAGTGTGTGCACACACACTCCTTGTACACCCCTTCTCCCCTGTGCACCCAATATAACGGTTGTCACAATCTGGCCTTTAACGTCCTAACCACGGCGTGAGCACTACCTGCTGAACTGAACTACTGCTGTACAAAAGGTTCCTGACTCGTTTTGCAACAGTTTCATAGGATTTCCCCAGGGAACTGCTTCTTACGTTTGCAGGCCTGAAGGCGCAAGCAGAAGATCACAGAATCATGGAAATGCCGGAATGGAAGGGACCTCAACAAGTCCATTCCCCTGCACTGAGGCAGGACTAAGAATTATCTAAACCATCCCTGGATAACTGAAAATTCCTAACGCCAAGTAGTTTGCTGAATGTTTTGCAATTAGCCTGCTAGAGACAGATGAAGAGGTTACTGGGAGCTCTCTGGAGCTACAGACTCAAGGCCACTGCCTCCTGGCTCGCTACATCTTCCATCAGTCTTTGTTTTACATGAATTACAAAAGTTGCGACAGAGGGTGAAGTGACATACGTCCTCCTCCATACAAGATGGTGAGAACAAAAACCTAATGGGAATGAGAAGTCATTTGGTAGCAACATCTTTATTACCACTATTAGGGTATTTGCTGGCTTTTAGGAGGAGTTTTGCTCAGAGCTTTTGTATTCCCGGGGCCAGACTGTGCTATTAAGGCATAGTCCTCGGGAGGTACTGATGCAGAGCCCACCGCGAGTTCCTCCTTCGTGTAACTCCATTTGCTTCAGGGCTGAAGTTCATGTTGCATCTTTGGCAACGGAACAACTCATTGCTCTAATGCTGGAGCTATTTGGCCATTTTGTGTTATCCACCACGGCACAGGACACAGGTGATGGCAATTCTGGGAGGCAGTCTGAAAGGGTCTAGTTTAGGAATCACTACCACTCTCTGGCCTTTGTGCCAACTTTTGGTACAATGTGCGTGCTGGGATGGGAAACAGGACGGCTAAATAGGAGCATTTCATTCACAGATTGAGAGGTCAGCAGGCTTTTCCTCCTCCTTCACTACACCTCACACCTGGCTCTGAGTCACTATACTCACCCATGTTGTGCCCCTCCAACTTAGACCAATGGCAGGTTCAGCCCCTGGCTCTGGTAAGGTGGCTTAGTGTCTGTACTGCCAACTCAAGCATTCAAAATTCATGAATCAGGCCCCCCAAAATGTGAGATTGGTTTAAAAATCACAAGATTCTGAAAATAATAAATGTTGGCAAGGGGTGGGGGAGGTGTTTATTTGCCTTCTAGTTTTTAAGCCGAGAGTACACTTGGGTCACATTTTCAAACTTTTCTCCACAACCTGGAGGGCTAGACATTTGCTTAAAAAAAACCAACACACCGAAGAGAGCTGATTCTCAAGTAATAACATGACTCCAGGAGGTGGGGCTTTATGTAGGACACCAACTATCACGAGGCTCAACCAGGCAACACAGTACAATCTCCTCTGCCTACCTTTGAGCCCTGCTCAGTGGCAAGATTGAGTTTATTGTCTTTCAGACATGAGGGACTGTATTTCCTTGCAAAACTAAGCCTAGAATCATGAGAGGCGCAGAAATGTCAGTCAGTAAAAACAGCGATTCCCAGACAGTGATATCTAAGAGCAATCCAGAAGCTGGACTCTATGTCTCCAGAAGGTAGATAAACCCAGAGACAAAGGGCCTGGGATTTCCCTTGCAAAAATACACTTAAATATAGTGCGAAGAGCCACCTCCTGCACTCCAAACCCCTCATCCCCAGCCCCACATCAGAGCCCTCACCCCCCCACACACCCCAACCTCCTGCCCCAGCCTGGAGCCCCCTCCCGCACCCTGAACCCCTCATTTCTGGCCCCACCCTGGAACCCGCACTCCCAGCCCAGAGCCCGTACCTCCTCCCACACCCCAACCTGTGCCTCAGCCCGGAGCCCCCTCCCATACTCCAAACCCCTCGGCTCCACCCCCGAGCCTGGAGACCCCTCCTGCACCCCAAACCCCTCATCCCTGGCCCCACCCCAGAGCCCACACCCCTAACCGGAGCCCTCACTCCCTCCTGCGCTCCCACTCCCTGAGCCAGTCCAGTGAAAATGAGCGAGTGAGGGAGGGTGGGGAGAGCGAGCGACAGAGGGAGGGGGGATGGAGTGAGCGGGGCCTCAGGGGAGGGACAGGGCAGGGGGGCAGGGCAAAGGTGTTTGGTTTTGTGCAAATAGAAAGTTGGCAACCCTAAACAGGGTATCCTGGAAAGCGCACACTAAATGCAACCTCTCCCTTGGAAAGACTGAACTGTCTCTCTAATCTATTGAATCATGCTGCAGGCTCAGCCAGTCAATGAACCAAATCCTAGTACCATATGACTTCAACACGTGACTTCAATCCAGCTCCAAACTCTGAGTACATTGCAAAAAAGTTTCCTCTCTCTCTCTCTCTCCCCCCTCCCGATTCAGAGAGTGGGGAAAATGTCATGTCCAACTTTGGTAAACGTGCAGACACCAAAAGATTTCTATGGGAACAGCACATAGCCACAGAAACAGGCTGATTTTGAGTATTTCTGTGGTTCACGTCAAACATTTTGTGCAGCTCTCTTCTGAACAGGGATGTATCATATACAGTACTGCAGCATATATGGGGCCACCCTACATTTATAACAAGAACATAACATAGGATTCATAGAGAAGGAACGTACTGCACTGACAACAAAAGAAAATGCTCAGACTGTGATGGACTTACAGTGCTGAGGGATATTAAACAACTGAGTAGAATGAAAAGCGTTGCAAGGCAACTGAAAAAGAAGCAAGAAGCATCTGCTATCAATATTCTACTCTATGTGGGAGATAAAAATATGCTAGTTATAGTTTACATCTTGGCAATTTCTCCCAACTTAAACGTGAAGCAGCAAGCTAAGCACCACAAGAGAGAGTACTATCTGGAAAGCGTGTTTTGTTTTGCAAGGATTCTTCCTTTATAAATACATAATACTGATTTGTAAAGGAAAATTCGGAGGAGGGGTTATTTGTTGAGCTTTTAGGTTTTTGTTTCGAGAAAGGATAGACATGCCTAGTGTGTGACTGTACGTTAACGTGTGAAAAATTTATATTCTAAGAGAAGTGGTAAAAACAGAGAAGTAACATCCCCACGGAATATGTCAGCATTAAAGTGTCCCATCTTTCCACACGCTGGGTTTCAAGACACTTGCGTGGAGTATCAGACAATCACTGCCACACTTACAACCCTGCTCAAAATCCAGAACTGCAGAGGTTGCCCTTTGCAACTTTTCGGCTTTGCCTCAGGCAACCTTACCCCCAATATTAGCTGTATCCCCTAGAGCAGTGTTTCCCAAACTTGGGACGCCACTTGTGTAGGGAAAGCCCCTGGCGGGCCGGGCCGGTTTGTTTACCTGCCGTGTCCGCAGGTCTGGCCGATCGCGGCTCCCATTGGCCGCGGTTCGCTGCTCCTGGCCAATGGGAGCTGCTGGAAGTGGCGCGGGCCGAGGGAAGTACTCCTAGTGGGAGGATACACACAGGAACAGGGAACAGACATACCTTTAAAGGCCACTGGGAGAGTGCCACACAGATTTCTCCCTGCAACTTTTTGCAGCAAGGCCTTGGTATCTGCAGAGGCCTTTGTAACAGTTGTTATGGGCTGAGGATTGCCGAAAGCAGACTCGGCCGAAAGGGATCACAAATAAAAAAATAAATAGAAACCACTTTCTATAAATCACACCATGTCTCATTAGTTACAGTCTCACACGCGCCTTCTCGCTTTTATC